CTGTGTGTTACGAAACTCGATCATCATTGTTCAGCATAAAACTTTAAAGAAAAACCTACACCAGCCAGTATATTTTTGTAGCATTAGCGTACAGACTGAAATTTGATAAAGTTATTTAAAAAATATTTTCTATGGTTTCACAGATATAACTTCTAATGTAATATTTATATAATTAAGGAAGAAAGAATGAGGAACGCCTAATAATAATTCTGTTATGATAAAAGTAAACGTATATCCCATATAAAGATAAAGCTGTTGTTTCTAAATATCTCAGATTAACGTAGTGCAAATTTTCCTCATTTTTTTTTCAACTTTTATTGACTTGTTTATATTTCAGAAACTCCTTATTTATACAGATAATCTAAAACAATTTTGTGTTAGATATGTTCCTATTATGAATTTCTTTAATAACAAGAAAACTAAGATATCAATAGAATTTTACACTGATTTTAAATAGTAATAAACGTTAATTAAATAATAAGCCACGTCGTCTACAAAACGTGAAAATGCTGAATCACAAAACTAATTTAGATTTCTTAAAATTTTTTGGGCATTTGTGTATATCGCTTGAGGCTTCTGATAGCAAAAAAGGCATAAATTAGAATTCTATAAACTAATAAATTGTTAAAATATAATAAATGTTTTTCTTTGGTAGAATACGTTTTTAAAATATCTGTCTGTCTTCTTTGCCGCTTTAAGTTTTGCACTAAAAAAAAAAAAACTGTACCACTACAACCCATGAAGGGTCTTGGGTTCAGCACTATTTAGGGAAAGGTTGTTCTCTTGAGGGAAAGGGAAAGTATCTTGGTCTACGATTGTTCAAGAAGGTGATTTGACAGAAATGGCGCTCAACCGCTAGGTATTTCTCCTTAATAAATTATTTTAATTAAGGCTACTCACTTTATAGAGGCTGGGTGTGCCCCAGGAGGGTCTACCTACGCAGGTTCGTCCCACGTCCTATGAAACAGAATAAATAATTTTTTTGCCATGAACCGGGATTCGTACCTGGGACCTTTTGCATTGGACGCTCAGTACCCTACCACTGAGCTTCCCCACTCCCAAAAGATTTGCACTATATTTTGTTAAATACTTATTTTATCCACAAAATAATCTTATAAAAATGAAAGTAGAAAAAAAAATAGTTATGGTTTTTGCTTTAGTAGATGCCTTCATTGATTGTTATTTTTTAATCGATATTATTACATAACTTTCTTGGAAAATTTATCTTTTTAATACCAATTTAGTAAAATTCCGTTCACAACTTCCGGACACCGCTTACACTTATGGATGCGTAAACGCATTTTCCTTAATACAAAAATGATTCGTTCGATTTGAACCAAAGTTCGAGGAAATTTGTGAAATAGTGTACAAATAGTCTAGTATCAATTTCATCATTTCACATTCAACAATCAAACTTAATCGACATAACAGTTATGAATATCATCTCCGTAAAAAGGATTAAGCAGACAACATATAGAAAAGAAGGTCATAATTAAACTGCAGTTGTATTCAGTTATAAGATTTTAGATGATGTTCGAAAAACCCTTCAGCAATTATAAGAGTATAACTTAGCACAAAGCGGGAAATCACTGAACCAATTAACCACAAGATATACATGGATAGGATAGAATTAATTAAGGATTTGAATATCAGGTTTATGGAAACCATAGATCAGCGCCAACAGGCTACATTTTAACACCCAAGGCACAATGAATATGTTGAGCCACATATCATGTGTCCTTATCTAATAGAAAATTACTGTTATCTACCTGTATATAGGGTCGTATCATTATAACCAAATCGTTTGTCCCATAATTTCCATTTTTTAAATATTTACATAAATTCTACTGGCATTTTAAATTGTGTCAAATATCCCGATTAAACAAGAATATCAACATTGAATAGAAAAAAAAAAAAGGATAAGTAGATATCATACACACTCCGTAAAATAATGTAAACACAATGGAAAAGAAAAGCCTTCTGGAAAAGCTTTTCCCGACTAACTTTTCAACTGTTGGTGGCGAAGTTCGAAGGTTGTTCCTAACTACTTTGACCTCACCACAGTCGGATAGAGGGGTAAACACTTAAAATATATAACGGAATGAAGCTTTGAATTCCGGATACGTATATACAGGAGCCAAATTAAATAAAAGTGTTCATATTTTTTATAAATTTAAATAGTAGGATAAAGCCTCCAATAATTTTCATTGGACATTAATTAATCAATTAATATCAATAACTAAAGGTACGGAAAAAATAGTTATTTTTTTTACAAATTATTGTTTTCTGAGATTTTAAATTTTGCCCATCTTATTTTTCCATAGAGAAAAATATTTGAATAAAAGAATTGGACTATGATAACATAAAAATCAAAATTTAGAACAAAATGTAAATAAATTATTCATGAATTCTTATTAACGCGAAGTTTATAATTAAAATAACAATAAAAGCTTTATTTTGTATAATCAAACGATAACTAATCATGTACGAAGTGGTTTTTTTTTTTTGTTCATTACGGTACGTACAAAACTCTATTACGAACTCCAAGCTGAGATATTATTAAAAAAAAAGTTTTCCTAGAAGTTGTCAACAATTTTTTTCTGACCTTCTTGATGAACTAAAATTGGTTATATGCTTAAATTCTTGATTTTTTTAAACCGATTGAAAATATATTTAGCAGAATATGAGGGTGAATTAATTTCGGTTTTAATTTAATTTACAACGAATATAATTTCAATATTTAATTAGAATTATTATAGGTAAGTGAAATAATTTATTTCTGTTATAATATTCATATTCACCAAAAACAGGGTTCGAATAGATATAATCAAATTTTATGTAACAATCTTCATATATAATAATAATACTTGACGGAAGTTAATCGACTGTTCTACATATCGTGGGTGATAAATATTCAGGACGCAGTCTTTTTAAAATTTTTTTTTATTTTTGCCAACGTTTCAACCGAAACATGTGGGTCATCTTCAGGGCGTGGTTTGAGCACTGAGGTTGTTCATGTACTCGCCGTACCACGCCCTGAAGATGACCCACATGTTTGGGTTGAAACGTTGGCAAAAATAAAAAAAATTTAAAAAAGACTGCGTCCTGAATATTTATCACCTATAATAATAATAATTTTCTAATATTATTAATAAACAAATTGACAAAACCCAGTTGGTGAGTTGTGCTTATTTATTGTCTTTATTCTTTTACTATGAAAATGAATACCGAAAAAATCCATGGTCTAATTTTCTATAATATAAAAGAATCTAAATGGAAAGATATTTTAGTACTTAAAATACAAAGAAGAGGTGGTAGATAGTGGGGGTCCAAAAAAGAACTCAAATCAATTAAATTATTTATAGAAACCAAAGTTTCCATTTTTCAGGTCTCCACCAGGATTAATTAAACAAAATACAAAACAGTAAGCAATTATTAAAATCGTTTAAAATTATGAATCTTGACATATGAAAAGAAAAAATGAAATAACTATTGATAGACTAATCGAAAAAAAATAATAAGGACGTTAAAATAAACATAAAAAAGTTGACTTCAATAAATTTTTTTAAATATTTGAATTTCCTTTTTTGACTGCAACCTCGTAGCGTTACACCTTTCAGTTATTATATATAAACTTAAATAATTAATATCCTATGTAATAAAAAAAGGTTTCTTTCAATATTTAATAAGCTTTAATTTCATATAAATTTAATTGAGGTTTTTGTAGAATAGAGTTTTATCCTCGGTTTATGTTAAAAATCATGTGAATTTATATTCTGTCACCCAAGAGTAGCTGTATTATCAGGAAAAATAACAAACGAAAAATTATTTAATTTCACTTAATTTTGTTTCTAAAAAGAAAATTATTCAATTCGTGTCAATCAATATCTACAATAATTTTAATAAATTAATATTATTTCTTTATTTATGTTTACAGTTTTATTGTATTATTAGCTACTGAAATTATTTATACTTAGCATTTATTCCACTTAACTTTTAACAGTATTGTTTGCCAGTAAAGAATACTTTAAGACAAAATTAATAATTTTGATTATATAAATATTAATCAACGATAATAATTTATATGTGTGTGTATATATATAACAATAATCAACAATAATAATTAGCATGTGTATATATATTATTAATTTTACACGACTGAAGTTTCCCAACGGGCAAGCAGAGCTGAGGTTTCTGAATCGGTATAGGGTTTGTAATGGACCAGTCCCCAGGACGGCTACAAACCCTAGACGAATACAGACAGTGTGTCTGAATCCGTATAAGATTTGTAAATACGCGGCCCTGGCACCAGAGCAATAAGAAACATAAGTACCGACAGTGTTCAGAGACACCCTAGTTTCCTCTTTTGTCTACCTGATAGATACCCTTACCTGAAAATATGATACCTGTTAGACCCGTCAGATCAATACTAAGTAAGTCGTAAAACCGTCTACCTTAAAAGTCGAAGTCATGAAACGAATGAATGATATTTTCTAGAAGAATAAGTAATGCAAGATTTTAGAACTTCCACAATTTATTATCATACAGCCAATACTATTTAGCCAACACATGTAAGACCATAAATTTAAATTTCATTAATAAGTTTCGTAATCTAATCAGTATACTTATGCTAATATTTTATAGGTTTAGTATTGATAAAGTTATAAGAAGTTCAGTTATAATTTTAATATTAATTTTTATGATTATTTTTTATATGTTAAACTATAGTCTATAATATGGTGTCAGAAATGTCTATAATATAATGCTAGCGCAGTATTTATATATTAAATATAAATGCCAACAACAGCATAATATCTATTTAGTTGACTTTCTCTTTTGACTTTAACGTTTTCTGTGTAAATAAAAGATATCTTACAGCCAACGTAATTTTACTATTGATGTAATTTTACAATTGAACTTGTTCGATGAACAGATCTATTCTAAATGTTCACGTGATAGTATTGTCACATTTTAACATGACATTCCTTATTCACTTATTATATGAAATTGATAATATTAACCATAATCCAGTCGTAGAGTTTCCGACGTGAATTTTCGTCTTGCAATTAGACTCTGAGCCATGAAGTTGTTGGTACATCTTGTAAAGAATGGAATGGATTTTCAAGAAAAGGCCGAAACAAGGTCCACTCGCTCTACAAAGGATGGTCAGGTAGCTGGTTTGAAATAGAAATATGAAGGCATGAGCTATAACACTGAAACTTAAGTTGTGAAGAAGTAGTTGTTTTATCTGTTCTTTAGGTAGTGGATACCTGATTTTCCAGAAGCTGCCCTAATTTACAATAGGACAGAGTCGGATTTTGTCTAGAACATCAAGTTTTCGAAGGGAGGAGTGAGAATTCGATAAGCTAAAAAAAAAAGGATAAAATAATGTGAGGGACAGAATAAATAAGATTTTTAATCCACATCAATGAATTTATTATCAAAAATTAATTTTGTCTTAAATTATTAATATTTTTAATTAGGGACTCGATCAGATTTTTTTGTCTCTCAAATATCACGATTTCTGTTCCAATTGAAATTTTATTAACGAAAAGACTGCTTACTTAGGTTTAACAGCCGTTAACACTAACAACAATAAATAGCTTCGGTTCAAGTGAATGCTCCATTAACACGCGAGAAAAATTGTTACTTAAACCAAACCCGTTTAGAAAAAGTCCAAAGTAAAAGTGAGAGTTTTAAATTGCATACCCTAAAGAAAACCCAGCAGTAAACTTTTGAAAAACCGATAGCCAAAATTTTTTGTTTATTCCTCCTTAGATAGTTCATCGCCACAATCATAAGTTATCACTCTGAAGATTTTCTATATTGCTAATATAATTAATTAATCAATTAATTTATTTTAATACAATTTAAGTTGGTGGTGGGTTGCAGCCACAGAGAAAAAATAAATAAATAAAAAGTTTTTCATTGGTGCCAACGTTTTTTGCTATAGCTATTTATTTTTAAATTTGATTTAAACGTTTATATTGTTACGTGAGATTTTAATGTATATTTTAGTTTTAAATTCTATTAGAGTTCAAATGAAAATAATGAAATAAAGCAATATTGGTGGTTTTAATCTCTTTTTCCTTTTTCTTTTTTTGGTATATGCTGGTGAAACCATATTTGCCAAATAAAAAAATAATTGTGTAAACAGTTTGAAGATTACCATTATCGCTGATGATATAAAATTAAAGGTAACAAATAGTTAGAACGCAGACATTTTTAAGGTTTTTATTGGTGCCGACGTTTCAACCCAAGCATGTGGGTCATCATCATCAGGGCATGTTTCGGGTTCTGAAGGTGTGCTAGTACTGTTACTTGCACACCTTGCTTGGGTTGAAACTTCGGCATAAATAAAAACCTTAAAAATGACTGCGTTCTGAATATTTGTTGCTTGTGATATGTAGAACAATCGACTAACTTCCTTCAATAATATAAAATTTATGTACCTTTTAAAATTCGACTTAATCATTACGAGACATTTTCCCTTACTTAACTTTGAAACTTGGAACCGTTTGCTTGAGCGCAGTTTTGATAGAGCAACACTTTTAACTAAATATTATTTATTGATTATTCATAACCCCACTTTCGTAGATGGTTTTGTTTTTTATATATGCTTCAAGATATTTCTTGTACTGTATCTTAGATATATATTAAGGTTTTACTGAGTTTATTTTTATTTTTTTTTTACTTGTAATCGGGGTGTGAACAAATTTGTGAACCGGAATTATATTTAAATAGAAGGGTACAAAATTTTATTTTCACTGAGAGAAGATTCATCATTCAGCGATTTCTTATTCTACAATATTAATTAATTTGATTTTTCAAAATAAACCGATGAGCTATTTTACCTTAGATGGTAGCAATAAGGGTTGGAATACTTTTGCAAAGCTATGTGTGTGCTTCCCCCTGTAGTTTATGACACTTCCTTATTTTATGACAGGGGCTCTACCTGCTGGCGAAAATTTGGGTAGACCTTGCCCCTTCCTCAAGGACGTTGCACCACTAAAAGGTTTTACAAGTGAAGTTCAGGGTGGCACAAAAATTATTAATTTGTATATTCATCAGATCGGTATAAAAATCAATATTTAATCAGTTTCATAATCTAATAGTTTTGATAGGTAGTACCGTCTTAGTGTCACTGGTTCATTTGTCTTTCAGCAGGTGATGCCGCTCCTGATTCTTATGAGGTAAGGAGGGAGGTTGAAAGTTTGCTTTCACTGTAGGCCACTGTATGGAAGCAAATATGCGGTATGGGAATAGAAAACTACAATAGAAGCAATCGTATCTAAAAGAGATTTTTCTTAATTAAAAAAAAAAATTATTACTGAAAGAACAGGTAATAAACCACAGCTATCTTTGAAGCTGTACTAATCTATTATTATACTACCTCAATATCTTTTGTTTGGTGCAGAAATACCTTGCTTTGTAGTTATATCACTTATGGAAGAGTGTTGAAGTATATTACTGAATACTTAAATTTTTTTTTTTAATTTATTGAAACATCACCTCCAATTACCTTTTCAACATATTTTTAATCCTTAGCAGACTATCATTAATACCAATATTTTAATTTTTAAAAACCTAAATGTTTGATAAATAACACATCGTAACCGTAGCACTTAAGAAGCTTTCGACAAGAATCACGATTTTTCTCCAAAACGGTACATTTTTGGACTTGAAGACTTCAAGGTCGGTATAATTCTTATATTATTATAATCACTGCAATTATTGTTATTATAATATTAAGGAATATATCGGTAGTATAGTTTTTTTTCTTTTTTATTTGTTTATTGATAAATATTACAATCTGTAGTATAGTTTTAAAGAAAATGTTAAAACCCCTCAATTTTTCCAATATTAATATTGCAACTCTAGTAAGTTTTCAAGTTTTGAAATTGTGAGTCGTCACTTTTCCCTAAAATTCCCATTCGTTAATACCTCATTCGTCAAAATTCATTACTTCTCAGAGTAAAAAAAAAAAGGATCTACGTATACAACAGTATCATATGTAGTGCGGAACATTTAAAAATAAAATATAGTAATATTTTCTATTGCTTGAAAGAAATCTTAAGTAAAAATAGCAGGAATGACAATAACTTATTTGGAGTTTCTTAGGATAAACACTCAAAATATTATTTTACCAGCGATATTCGAGAAAAAAATTATGTATGATAAAGATATTAAAATTAAAAGCTTTGTTTAATTTTTATTGTAACTTGTTTTCGGTGAAAAGGAAAGTAAGTTTTGATGATAAGGAATGACTATTCGTTAGGAACTGTAATTTTCGATAAATGTAACAATGATATTAAATTTTTAATAAATTATTTCATGCCCAATTACTTATCAATCCATTTTCAATTTGATTCTCCAAGTTTTATCACCATTTAAAACACTCTAGTCTTATGCCATGTGCTATAATGTGTTTCATAATAATAATTCTTTAATAAATTGGCTGTTTCGGCTCGAAATAAGCCCTGTTGCGACTCATTAAAATTCATTAATCCCATACCCTTATGGCGCTATTAACTGTTAACTTGTTTACATAATCATCATAACTAGCCTAAACTAAAAGTCCCTTTTGTATGGAACCCTACCCACGTTGGGAATACCTGATGTGAACTGTAGACCGTTAGAGCTTTTTATACGGTTCAGTCTGTAAGGTCTCGTCGTTGTCGGTAATTCACTTCAATAATCAGCCTTTATATCCAGCTAATGAGGATATTTATTAAAGGTTTATTAATCAAGTTATTAATTGATAATTAATACGTTGGGGAATAACGCAGAGTTAAATTGGAAACATACTCAAATAAGAGTTTATCTGTGCTGTCACACTGGGTTTATTTGTTGCAATCCTACTATCAGAAATATGGCTTCAACTGAGATTAGAAACACGAGAGATAAACAACACTCCATTGTATAGAACGTTTCTATAGAAAAATCACTTCCAAATACTGTAATTGAATTACCACTATTTATCATGACATCACAAAAACTAAAAACAAAATATGTTTTTATTATCAAATTCTTATTAATCTATATGTATAATTACGTATTTATTAAACTTTCTTTTTAATCACACAGTATTTTATTTTACGTTTAACAAATTTTTATAAACATTTAAAATTTATTATTAACATTTCGGTTCCAAGAACCATTTTCAAAAATTATGTTTTCTTTTTATTTATCAAAAAACTATTTTTACATGGAATAGTGTTTTAGATTTGTCAAAAGTATGTTTTAAATTATTACATTATAAATGAGTTGTTAATTTGCAGGATAAATGTTTTGATAAAATGAGAAGAAAGGAATTTCGTGAGGAGTTGGAGGAAAAAGGAAATAAAACAAAACATTTCATATTTAATAAAACAATTACTACTATTGAGTAGTATTCTTTATACCTACATATTTCAACAAATGTTTTAGTAATAATATTTTCATGGGACTAATATGTTGTTTTAAAATGATAAAACAATTTTTGGAAATGACTCTTGAAGCCTAAAAATTAAATAATATTTTTTAAATGTACATAAAATTTTTTTTTAAATGTGAAATAAAAGACTGTGAGATTATAGATAGGTTTTAATAAATACATAGTCATAGGCACATTAAATTTAATTATTTTTTTTTTAGCTCAATTCTTCAACTCACACCAGTCAGAAGTTCCAACAATCAGCGAGTGTGATGTCAAGATGTAGAAGAATTAAATATAATAATTAATAAAAAAATTCACAAAAAATATGTACAACCTAAATAAGGTTGTTTATAATAGATATAAATATACTAATTAAATACTTTAACTTCAGTAATTTTCTACTACCTAATAAACTTAAATTTTATTGACTACTAAATTAGACCATATTGATCCTCATTTAAATAAATAAAAAATGTCGATTTCTTCCAAAGTAAGATGATACTTAAATTGGATTCACCAAGTTAAATTAAACCTTACAAAAAAAAAACATTCTTATTGTTGCTTCCTGATTACCAAAGCTTTGGAAGCTTTGCATAAACGGAAACTTGCACAGATGAGTAATGAAAAACCATTTTTAGGTCCGAAACGCTTCACAAAAAAATCTCTAGGATATAGTGTATTGGATAAGATCAATACAACTATCAATCAATATGATACAATCAATACTCTAGGATTTGGCCTTGATAAGCAACAGGTTTTACGACTTAACTTCACAACAATCAACCAACTATTTTAGGTTTCATTAACAAAATAACTTCAAATCATGTTTTTAACGAGCCATATTATTTAAAGTATCCACATTTTGTACAGATTTATTTAAATTTCACCAATAGAGCAGTTTAAAATCGTTGACCATAAAGTTAATATAATATATTGATTATTTAAAAACATATGAAAATAAAATACATATATTACATTGATACTTCAATTTTTCAATTACCCACAACATATTTTAATCTAGTAAACACCATTCAATATATTATTTCACAGTAATTTATAGTTAAAATTTATTTAGGCCGTGCATGTTAACGATAAATCGTTATCATACGTACAAAATTCACTGAATTGAGTCTCCTCTAAATATGCTCGGGCAGCCTTTCGTTTAACGCTGATATGACTTACCCTTGTTGAGTGTACCTGAAAAAGGTTGGGTCCCCAATTTGACATTCCAAAATTTACGAGGGACCATATTCGAACTATTTTGCAATCTGGGATCCAACTCGAACTACCGTTTAATTTAATTTTGTATACTTTTTTTTTATCAGCCAATAAAGATCACTTAAACATTATTTTATATATATGACTTCTTTCTTTTTTCTTTCCATAGTAATTACAGTAATTACAAAAAGAAAAAGCCAAGCCCATCTGGACCCGCTACTGTTTCCCATAAATATTAAATATTCAGCGATAGAATTTATATTTATTACTTACATAAGTTAAATTTTATATCATTAAGCATTATTTATTGGGAAAAATATGTTCTATCAAGATTAGAGCAAATAACAAAAGAAACATAGAAGATAAAATATAGAAAAAGTAATGAAGACATGGATCACGTTTAAGTGAAAGCATAGCATTTTTAACACTATTGTTTCAATTCTACTTGACTATAAAAATTGAAGGTGGGAATACCCCAGAACAAGTCAGCATCCCTGGGAAATCAAGAAGAAATCCTTACCAAAGTTATGAAGTTCCTAGACAATGAAAAAATTATAAAACATATATGACAAGTTTATAACAAATGAACCTTTACAGATTTATTTATTATTATTATTTTATTTTATTTTAAAAGTTCATAAATTTATCTATTCTATCTTATTATCTTTAAGTGTCGATTATTATCATTATTTGTGTATTTTCTTCCATTAATTCTTTAATTTTTATTTTTTATTTATTTTTTTTTTTACCGACCTAAACGTTTAAACCTTTAAATAAAAGTAGTGTTATTTAGTTGATCGAGCGCTGATGACATGGATGTTTTGCGCCTGGACGTCGAAACAAACAAACAAAATTGAAGGTAGACCAAGCATGAACAACAAATGTACAAATCGACTTGAAATATTATAATATTACAACAAAATAATATAGTATTAAGATTAGCTAATCTTCCATAACAAGCTGTAAAGATAATTTTAGATTTTCAAAGTCTGTAGGAGAAGTTGAGGGGCTCAGGAGGGCCACAGGTAAGTAGGGGAGGATGGTCATGCATGCACCTGGCAGCTGCTAGTGGATGTGGGGTGGATTCAGAGGGTAATAAAATTGCCCTCACTAACAGTCCTCTAAGTACACGAGTACTGAAGGTTTCTAAGAAAAAAAAAAGTATTACAGATCCTTCAACTCCCTTAAAACCAAAACAACTTATTATATTATCTGAATAATTAATTGACATGAAAAAACAAAAGACAGAAAGCTGGTGTTATAATCTGCTTTAAGCTTCTTAAGTGTTAGTCTCTCTTATAATTATGCCGTCTTAATACATTTTTTTTTAATTCTAAAATTCTTTATTCAGACATATTACAATCTGTCACATCTAAGGACAAAAGCAATAATGAAAAAGAAGAATAGCCCACTCACAATAAATAAAATACAATAAATAAAAATAAATAAACAGCAAAATAATGATAATAAAATTAAATTTATATGAACTAAAAGAAACTAAACTAAAAACCAAGAAACTAAACTAATCAGCTAAAATTATTGTTAGATACTATTGGGGAAGGAAATATAGTTTATGAAACCAACTCAGCCATAATTAGAACAAATATCAACAGGATATTAAATAAATATGAACAACATTTGCAGGATGGAGACGGGATAACATGCCATAGCTCATCTTATATTGAACATTTAAACCTTTTCCTTAATAATGATCAGATCTCCCAGTATTTGTTTATACCGACTAATTTTCTAATATACTAAACTATTAATGCGGATCCGACTCTCGGGAAAATATATGATCAAGATTTCTGTTAATAATAAAATTGTTAAAATTGTTAAAATCCACAACTTGAGTGCAAAACGTGCAACACTAAAGAAAACTAAACACTTCATCATATATTAATTAAATGCTCAATTAACAGTAGTTTAAGGTTAAGAATTTACCATGCTATGGAATATTTAAGCCTACCATTACAGAAGTTATGAGAAAATTATATTTTTTTATCTCAATTATATCAAATTATAGAGAATTGGTAGGGTAATCTGAAATATTGTCCTCTGCATATTATGGCAATACTTCCATATCTTAGTAATATATTATTTTTTATAAAATATTTTAATACAAAATTCCATATTGTACATCAGCATGTAATCTGTCCGGGTATTTTTCTTGTTTGTTATTTTATATATAGGGGCAATCTTTTAATTTAATTTTAAAGCACAGTTTAATATTAATATTTTTTTTAAATGTGTATTTATTGTTTTATGTGTATTTATTTATGTGTATTGTTGACAATTTAAGATTTTATATTAATTTGATAATTGGAACTATTTTAACTGTCTGATCTTTACGGAATAGGATTTTTGATTTATTCTTAAAAATGTTGTAATATCTGTTATGTAGTATAAAAAGGAATTTGTATTTCCATAAAGATAATAATATTTGTTATTTTGTGATAGACTCCATTTGTATAGGGTTCTTCCGTTAAAACAAATAAAGTGATTGAAACTAAACTAATCAAAATAATTACTTAAATACACACATGCTTTTATACAATATTTACAAAATTCTTTCACTCAAGATCTCCCAGCCTAGCCTTTCCCTCTCTCGTGGAAGGAAAGGCATGACTCTAGGAATGATACACAATTAAACATTATAACGTATACATACTAGGTATGCACGTTATGTTAGGAAGAGGATTCATTGTGGTAGATTGAAAATCCGGCAAAGCGTACATCAGAAATGTATCACATAATATGTTCTGTCAGGGTCATCCAAAAGTTTTGGCCCGCGAGCCACATAGAGACCTCCACTAATTTAAGTCCCACGGGCAGCATTACGAGGCCTACGCCTATTCACACCGGAGCTAGTGAGGTAAAAAAAAATCTTGTTCTTTAAATAAAAATTTAGTTGTGGAATGAGCCTTCTAAGAGAAACAGAACCATTCAATAAATGTTGAATTAATGCTCTGAATTTTATATTTTTTTAAATTTTAGCATGTAATCAAAGAAACTTTCGCGGGCCATAGTTATGTGGCACTTATTAAAACATATGTATATTAAAATATATGTACGTAGAAGAACAAAACCTTAATCTTGGACCCTAACCTTGTTTTTTTTTTGTTTTTTCTCTAAGAAGTCACTATGTACATTTTGTTTGAGCTGGACTTTTCAATATGTTTTGTTAATTTCGTCTTTATATATCAATAAAGTACCACAGGGAGTGCACTAAAACTACACAAACCAATTTATACATCAAATTTTGTGTTTTACAAAGGAAATAATCAACAAAATTCTTAATGATTTAAGGTTATGAAATGTCACTTAATGACTTTTAGCAATGAACCGAAGATATCTGCACAAAAAAAAAAAACTTTTACCAATTTCTGAATGATATGAAACCTGAATAAATTGTATTTTGAGACGAATTCAAAAGCACGAAGGATAATGAAATAGATCTAACTGCAAGTTGCTTAAGCAAAATGTGATATTTAAAGAAAAAAAAACCATCATAATCATGATTGACAGGAGCAAATTAAATATAAAATACAATTACGCAATACTAATAATTTATACTATTTTCTTTTATTACATTTAATTCTTATGTTCAATTTCAGAGTATGATTGTCGTTCCAGAGGAGAAAACAATAGCGGTGTAACAACTTCATCTCAACGAGTTTTTATTGGAAGAAAACCCTGAGACTTGATACACTCGAACAAAATAACAAAGAAAGAAATAATTCTGTAGAACAAGTGTCCCCTTAAATCCTCATTAGTTTCTGCTAAAATACACATTGGTTAAGTCACTGGCCTAATAATTCCTGCATCATAAATTGAAATGCACTATACTTAAGTAGTAATAAAAACCAGAAATATAATTTATCGAGTAACTTTGCTGTACCTAAAGAATCTTAGTAAAACATCAGTTTCAATAGAAAATAAGGTATAACTTTTTCAGATTGTATATATTGTATGAATGAGTTTCTCACATCTCAAATACTCAATGCCATTGATTGAGGGAAAATGTATTTTTTTTTTCTCAATAAAATAAGATTTAAAAAAAAAAACTTAGTTTCTTACCAATATTGTTTCGATTTTAGCAATATTTTCAAGTTTCGAGAATGTTAAATCCGTTTTGGAATTATATTTTCTCAGTAACATGTTCTACATCGGAAAAATGCTTTTCAATATACATCATACAAGCGAAGACTGCTGAGTTGTTGTTTTTATTAAACTTGAAACAATCTTGCTTAGAAATTAAATTGAAGATAATTTTACCGAAGATAAACAACGTGTTTGATTTACAAAAAAATTATCAAGTTGATATTGCAAATACCGCTAAAATATTTGTAAAACTATATCTCTGGTTTATTAACTATCTAGGTACATCGCATAAAAAAACATAAATAAATAAGGAAGTACAAATATATATACAAAAAAGAAAATACAATGAATTAGGTAAATGAAGAATACTCGTTCCCAATGAACAACATTAAAAGAATAATACTAAAAATATTATTAATAATAATGGGGACGGGGAAAAAGGTGTGAAGTAGAGAAAAGAAAGTAAATATAAAGATGTAAGAAAGTAAACTTATTCTATAATTTAAAAGTTATTGTTAACGTTTCGAGACAACACTCCTCATCTTCACAATATTACTTTTATAATAATGAACAATAAATATCATAACATTATTTCTACATATTCTTGTTTAAAATATTTTAATATAGTAATAATATTTATAAATACCTAGTGATAATAATTTATTAAAGGTATGATATCTTTAAAGTAAATCTCTTAAAGTTATGCTTAGTTATATCAATTAAAACACCAAACAGCCTGTACTAACTGTAACGGTGTGATATATAATAAACAAAGGTTTTTTGCTACCACGATCCTTACATTATTATTTGTTATCTACGCTCTTTAAAACTTAAAGAGTCTAGTAGATAATATGCTTTAAAGCACTAAAGTTAAAAAGAAAAAAAAAAAGTTAATAAAAACCTAGATTCGTAGACAAACTCTTTATTTACTGAAGATTTCAGGATTTTTTTACCATTGACGGTATTTTTTTTTATTTAAAACTTTATTTGTGCTTTATGTAATGCATATATTGTTAATGTTATTAATTAATTGTTAATTTATATTAATTGGAGTATTATAATTATAGAGATGAATATGGTGTATGGACACCGCAAGCTTCTATACAAATAAAGTTATAAACGAAAAAAAAAGACTGTTATTAAAGACTGTCAACTCTTGAGAACATAAAAACAATATAAAATTACCTAATAACTCTTTATTTATTTAACTCGTAAGTAATGACTTATTTATAATGAATTAACTCACTTCTCTTTAACAAACATTTAATTAATACTCCCTCAGCGTTCATTAAACTATACTTTTTACCTTACATCAGCTATTCAATTTATTTTAATGATAATATAGATTTGTTTAACAACAGGATAAAATGTTTCCTATCTTATCTGAATTCCGCGAAAGGTAATTAGTTAAACGAGAAAGAAGAAAATTCACAGGAAATAATTTCCATTATTCATGTTACAAACGAAGAGGTAAACCGAAGAAATCTAATTTGTGAAACACATAGACCGTGGGTGCTTCAGATTGTTCTGTGAACTCCACGGCACAGGGAACCAAGTGACGTCGAAGTTCGCGGGAAACACGAGATAAGGTTGCGTAGGCGAGGGCCAACAAATAAATAGTAATAGTGCGCTATAAATAGCTGGCCGGCCAGGTCGCGGAGGAAAATACGCTGTGGCGTCACACTGGCGTAATCTGAGGCAGCCAAGCACGCCTTGCAGGACGTTTCATTTAGTTGCCGCCATCAGAGACCGATGACGCGCCTTTTCCACTCCTCTTTGATAATGATAAGTACTTTAAAAATGTCCTCTTGCCGAATCGAGAAAAATTATAACTTCCTAAAGGAAAATGTCCATACGAAGAAAGGATGGATTAATGAGAAAATTCCATACAACAAAAGATGGAACATATCCATAGAGAAATCTAGTAACAGTTAAAGTTCGTAACTTAGCAGTTTTATTTATTGAGTAATATAATATTCTGTCACATCGACAATAATTATGAGGTAAAATTACATTCAGACACTATATTGTGTGTATGTATAATATACTATATATAATATATATAATAATATATATGTTTAATTATTATTTTAAAATTAATTATTTTAAATATATAATATACATAATGATAATTATATATATATATATATATATATATATATATATATATATATATACATATATATATATATATATATATATATATATATATGTGTGTGTGTGTGTGTGTGTGTATGTATAAGGGGCTGGAGTAGCCGTCCTAAGGCGCTTGCAATAGGTAACCAAGTTAAGCAACGCCGAGCGTGATACTTGGATGGGTGGTCACCCATTTGGGTGACCGTCCACCAGGGAAAGCCACGGCTGCCCGAGAACCCCCCTCTCGGGTACAGCAGGCTACTGGAGGCAACTCACACCGACCGGGCGTAGGACTGATGACCCTTCACCCGTGTACTTAAATCAGAAATCGGGATGTGGTCTAGAAGAGCACATCTCGTGGTATAAAAAAAATATACATATATATATATATACAAAATTTTAAATAAGCAGAATCAATATAACAACTACGGCACGGGCGGATCTACGGGGAAGTGGGGGGTTTTCGGGCTAAAGCTCCCATTCCCCCAAAATGGTAAAATACAACCATGTGTAACGAAAAAGAAAATATCTGAAAGTGTTATTGTTCGTCTAATTACAGTTAATAGGTCTTAAAGAATCACTTAAAGGCCATTTCATATAGGTAGTGAGTTTCTTTCTTTCTTCCGAAGTAATTATCCTAATATATTTATACAAAAAATAAATAAAATCTTTCTATGAGCTACCAATACGAGCTACTCCTAATTAGTTGAAAACTGATTTTTTCATTGGCCCTTGTTACTGTGAGTGACCTAACCTGAATACTTGAACAATCACAATAAGTTGTATTTTTAAATTATGTCCAGCTACTAAATACAACCATCTTTTCCAAGCATCTCATAATGCAGTATTTGGCCAGAAATGTTTTTTCTCATAATTATTATTCTTAAGGGATTTTGTCCCATCATAGAAGTTTATTTTCTATCTTTCTTTTATGAAAAAAATATTATAAAATCATTTCTAAAAAGTTTTATTGTTCATTTAATTACATTTTTAAAAGGATATCAAGAATCGCCTAAACATAATTTCTTGATTACTTCCTGTGTAATCATCGTTTATATATATATATATATATATATATATATATATATATATATAAATATATATATATATATATATAAATATATATATATATATATATATATATATATATATATATATATATGTATATATATGCTTTCGGGCTGAAGTCCCCTCCCAAAAAAAAAATCTGGATCCGCTACTGATATATGGAATACTTTTACCAATGACTACCTCTATCACAATTGGCTGAATGAAGTTTGAGTTATTTAAATTCACAGTTATCAGAGAATAAAACTCTTGTCGATTAACTCAAAGAGGATTGTAATGAGAAATAGATAAACCAATTAAAAGTAACTCAAAAACAATTTTATTTTATTATCCTTATTATGTAGTAAGTAGACTTCAATAAATTATCTAAACTGTAAAATGAGGCCACAGAAGACATTTATTTGATAAGAATCGAGCCCTTGTGATTTCTACAGGTAGATCACATAATAGTATTTCTAAGCTGCCTTAAATATGTCGAAGGGGTCGTGTCGTAAGGAACGCTGACGGTTGTGTTGCAACGAATCCTTTGTTTCCCAGCAACCAGGGGATAAAAATCTCAATAGAACCAACTTCGCTGCGCAGTTTTCATCTGTTGAAGAAAAATCATAAACTTAAATTAAAAACAAGAAATAAGGTGTGACTTTCTTAAGAATTTCAGGCTAAATGGAACAACTTTAAATACATCCATTAAAAAAATAATTAGATTAATTTTCTTGAACAACAGATCAGAGGAATAGTTAGATTACGATTTCTTTCATGAAGCAAAGCCGTGCAAACCGACACCTGAACCTTCAGAAAAATAAATATGAATTAATAATAAAAATAACCCTTAATGCACCTATACACAGAACGCGATATATCTGGGCGATACGAAATCCCTTTGTCGGCATCGCTGCGGATTATCGCGCTCTGTGTGAATGTGATAGCAGAATATAATGAAACACAAATATATCGCCGAAACATGTCGTACGTAGGAGCTCTTAAAATCAGCATACAAATTTCAAACCACTGTAACTTTGCTAATAATCGTCCGATCAGGAGAAATTCTTTTTAGGATTTTCAGAAATTTGACAAACTTTTCAAAAATGGGATACAAATTGTAAATTTGACCTGATTACTAATTAATAAAATATGCCTAAAATAGAATACGCGGTATCATTGCAAATATTGGTTCTATTTCGTTGAATATTTTTTGGTTTTGTAGATAGTTTAATTACATTTCAGACAAATATTTATAAATTTTACTTTAAAAGGTATAATTTTTGAGTTAAGCACCAAAATATTTTATTTTATTTAGAACTTGTTTCTTGAGTTTCTCGGGAAATTTACTACTGGTACGAAAATTGAAAAAACTTTATTTAAGAGGTTATCGGAAAATTTCATCATATTTTTTTAAGCCGTTTTTCTATAGAATAACATATTTTTAAAATAGAATACCCTGTGTCGTTTCAAATATGGCTCTATTTCGTTGAATATTTTTTGGTTTTGTGGAGAATTTAATTACATTTCAGAAAAGTATCTATAAATTTTACTATACAATATCATTTTTGAGTTAAGCGCCAGAATATTTTCTTTTCTTTAAACTTGAGTTTCCACGAAAATTTACTACAGGTACGAAAATCGAAAGGACATTATTTAAGAGATTATCGGAAAATTTCTTAAAAATTGTTAAAGCCACTTTTCTATAGAATAACATATTTTTTACTTATTGCTCATCTCCTATTCTGTATTCAAAACCCTACAAGACAAAAAAAAAATACGCAACATAACCAGTCCACTTCTGACATAGACAGACCAGTCTAATGTCATTTTAATAGCCGTAGGAAAGTAAACAAAATAATAACAATGTCGTATAGTCTGTGATTAGATCAGAATGAACTTACAATTAGTTCAAATTTTCCAATTTCAATATTAAATTCAAATCTGATTGCAATACATAAAAAAAAAATCTATTCACTCGGTGATTTACTTTATTCGTTAAATCAATAGCATGTTTTGAAAAAAAAAAATACTAAATGCATGAACGCTATTTCAATTTTACTTCTCTTAAATTCCTGGGAAAGGGATTAATGAAGCTGACCAAACAAATGAAAGACAGCGCAAACATTTCAAAAGCCGAACAAATATCTCTTTCCCATTGCCCGTTGTTTCGATAAATTGCTGTCGGTATGTTTTTGTTTAATTCAGTTTTACTGTTTTAAAAGGTATATTTTTGTTTGTTTATTTCTAATTTCTGCTACCTATAATAATTTTATAATTGTAGAGAAATAATTGACTATAGATAATATGGTTGGAAAATTAGTAAGTGATAGCAGTCACAAAGGAATATATAAATATATGTTTGTGAGTATATAATTTTAATATATACATATTATATATAATTAGTTTTAAAGCTGCTATTGATAACTTAATATTTGGTAAGTTTTCCTTTAATAAGTACCTCAAATAAGAACAATTAACGAAAAGCCTTTAAATCAACTAACAGAATTGTATATATTAAAATTAAAGCCTTAAGGTAAATGTCCCAGCAATAGACAGTTTTCAATTCATTAACTAACGATAAGCTTCTTATGCCCTATTGAGAAACATGAGTAGATTTGCAGTTAAAAAAGTTAATAGTGTGATACCTAAGCCTTAAGTGACATTATGTCACAATAAACGATTGGTAGTTAATATATATATAATTTTAATTATTCAATATGACAGAAATCCCCAACTAAACTTCCCAACCAATCTTAAAAATATATTATTTGTGAAAAAAAAACTGTGCCACCAATAGAACCCATCAAGGATCTTGGGTTCAGTACTATTTAGGGATGGTACTGTTTCTTGGTCAACGGTCGAGCAAGGTGGTGATCAGACCGAGATCACACTCAACCGCCAGGTTTTTTTCCTTAGCCAAATATATTAATATGGGTTCCACTTTAGAGAGGCTCAGGATGTGCCCAGCCTCACGAGGATCTCCTGACCTCGGGGTCGATCCACGGCCAATGAAACTGAATAAATAATTTATCTGCAATGAGCTGGTAATCGAACCTGGGACCTTGAGCATTGGAAGTTCAGCGCTCTACCACTGAGCTGCCCGCTCTCTAAGATTACTTCATAAAAATTAATTCCTGAACCAATCAATTTAAAGAAATTGTACATCTATTACAACAATCAAAATAACCATGTAATTCCAAAACAATCAACAGAGCTTTTGAAAAATATTAAAGACATCTAGTTCTCCAATTGTTTTGTTTTTTTGTAAAACAGTGCCACAACATTTCTGGAAAAATCTTTAATGGTGAAGATGATTGTTGATCCAATGATCAAAGTCCATTGTTTGACGAACAAGCCATTAATGCAGTTTTTTTTTTATTATACATGTTAAATTTTACTTGTCGATCTAATTTTGATTCAGCTTGTAAAATATCCTTGAGCAGATGACACTATAGAGAAACATTATTTTCATTTCACCCAGTTTTAGGGACTAAAACAGGATAAGATAAGGACAGAACGTGCCAGATTACAATATTTGAAGAAATAATCTAATTCCAGAATTGTTTACCAAAAGATATCATTCTTTTATTTCCAATCCACAATAGGCCAGTTGTTCTTGAACCAAAATAATTGGGCAATAACTTGTATCGTTTTTATTATTTAATTAAAATTGTGTTGAACATAAAGAATTGTACATAAACACAAACATAAGGCAATAACAGTCATTAAAATGTGAAATTAAAGTAACTGGTTTGTTATATTTTTAACATTATTGAATGTATTTTTGATTTACAAAAAGGAAAATTACAAATAAATCTTACTCAATATTTGTTTTTGTAAATAATCAGTTTTAAAAACCTTTCGAAAATATGTGCATATTTCAAAACCGACTCGTTAAATCTGGGAAAAGTTGAGTACTAGTGAAAAATTATTGAACGATTTAATCGAATTCCACCCACTTTTTTTTTGCATTTTTGCATATTCCAAGTATGCGGAAAAGTATTTTTCTCTATGTTTTATTTAAAAAACGGATTGGATTTTGCCTGAAGTTGGGAGAAATCCGGTTATTGCCAAAAAAAAAATCTATCAAATAGATTTCAATTTTATAAAATTAAAATCACTGGTTTGGCTTAAGGATGCCCAGATATATTTTCATTGAAACGCTTATATTTCAAACTTGGTCTTTAATTATAATATTAGAGAAGTGTGTGCGAATAATGCAGAAATGTGAACACAGATATTTTTTCTATTTTATCGATTTCCTTTACTTGTAGAAAGATAAGAGATAACCTTTCACCATAGATCGCTATGTTAAACAATGCATTTATGCTAAACGGAAGTGATGTTAAAGAGGTTATAGGGAAAAAGATATTTTTCGAAATAAATAATTAAAATAGTATGTATGTTTTTTAAATATTTTTTTTACTCAATAGCAATCATATGGAAGATATACTAAAGAAATTCAAAGGCACCATTATTTTTTAACAAGAACAGTTTTATTTCCTTGAAAATTATAGGACTATATTACTGTTATATGAACCTGACTTTAATATAAGAGTTGAATTTTTTTTTTTTCATAGAAAATTCATTAAAATAATTACTATAAGAGTTAATGAGTTTTCAGAATGACGACCCGGATAGAATAATTACTTGACGTAAACATTAAATATTGAAGGGCTCAGGAATACATTTTTTAACAGGTTGTAAATAACTTGATAATAATCTTCTTGAATAATAAAAAAATATAATAATAATAATGGAATAGTACAACAAAGATATATAGTGAACTATAACTTCAGATTAAACAACCTTAATTAGACAATAAGAATTTAAATGTCAAGAGAATAAAAACGATAAGTGAAAATTTTGGAAAAATTATTCCTTTGGGATAATTATATATTGGGATAATAATTATTCAACTGACGATGTAAATTATTTTTATTTAATATTCCACTTTTCATATACTGCAAACCGATAGTTGGATCACAACTGGTTTCCAGGGACAGATAAGCTTGCTATTTTTCCTACCTACTTTTCAAATATTTCTTAACTTACTTATTCAATAATCTTATTAATTGTTTATTTAAATCATTTCATTTCCGTAATATTCTTAGTTTAGTGACTTATATTCTATATTATATAATTACATATTTTTATATTTTTTAAATTTACCTATTAGTATTAAGTTAGCTTGTAATAGTTAATTGAAATGTAGTTTAGGGTTATTTAATTTATACTAATCTAAAACTAATACTTCTCCTCTACTATCATTTTATAAACATTTTTATTCTATATATCCTTTATTAATTTTCTGTCTTTCTTATATTGTAATATGGAGGTACCTCCTGGTCCTCCCGATCTATCTACCGTCCTAACCAAAAAGAGAAAATGGGCTCGCCCTAAAATTAAATTCCCTCCGGACAAAATCATTCCGCAAATCACAGATACAACTCCAACATATCTTGTTGCTAAACGATCCGATCAAGAAGACTTTAAAAAAACCTCTCCATTTTTTATTCAAAAGGTGATCGCTCAGTTAGCAGGTGATGTTAAAGCAGTAAAAAAGTTAAGAGACGGTTGTTTATTGATACAAACACTCAATGGACAACAATCAAACAGACTTTTATCCGTTACAGACTTTGGAGGCCAAATGAAAGTTGAAATAACACCGCATAAAACTTTGAACTATAGTAAGGGCGTTATCCGTTGCTATGACTTCCAATACATGGACATACAGGAAATAAAGAACGAATTAACTCCGGTAATAAAAGATATTGTCAGGATAAAATCAAAACGGAATGGTAATGAAATACTTACACATAACTATATAGTTACCTTTCCAACACCTTTACCTCCAGAAACATTACAAATTGGATACGAAACAGTTAGAGTACAGCCTTACGTACCGAATCCGTTACGATGTTTTAACTGCCTAGGATTCTCTCATCCGACATCACAATGCAAAAAAGAATCAGTATGCGTACAATGCGGCCAGGGAAGACATGGAGAAAATGTAAGGTGTAATTTGCCGGCTAAATGCATAAATTGCAATGGTCCTCATAATGCCCTAGACCGGTCATGTACCGAGTTTAAAATACAAAAGGAAATAAAAGCCATACAAATCAATAATAAAATATCACTTAACGAAGCAAAAAACATGTATAGAGAAAAAAATCCCATCCAGTTAAATAAAACATTCGCGGAAATAGCAAAAAATCAAAATAATACAAACAGAAAAGTAGATGTTGCCACTCAGGCTAATATTCTGTACTCTTTCTCAGTTACTTCAACAACCACACAGATAAATAAACCCAATGAGATTATCTCTCCTGATGTCCAGGCCACACCAGCTATCTCTGATCGAGAGACTGCTCGACCACAGTCAACCGAAGTTGGCAGCCCCGCGCCTACCCAGACTGCTCCCCTCCTCCCCTCCTCTTCTTCCCACTCATCTACCCTCCCTGCCTCTACTTCCTCTCTCTCCTCTAATCTCTCCTCCTCCTCTTCGTCTTTCCCTTCTGCTCCTCTCCCCAACTCTTCCTCCCTCTCTTCTCCTACCCTCTCCACCTCCCTTCCAAATCTCCAATCCCCCAATCCCGATCTCGCTACACCACCAGACGATAAATCTGCTGAAAATGCTGTAGATGGGGAAGGATATACCCTACAAAAGAAAAAAGGAAGACCCCGAAAAAAATCCCCAAATAAAACAAATAATAAATAAAATAGCCGACAACTAAATTACAAATATCATCTTCAAATATGTTAATATATGTTTTTTCCATTCTATACCGTAACTAAATCATGACCCTAATCCAGTGGAATTGCAATGGTATTAAAAGTCACTTCAACGATTTGAAGCTATTAATGGAAGATGAAGATCCTTTTTGTATATGCCTCCAAGAAACGCACCTAAAGCCTTCAAACCAATTCACCCTTAAAGGCTTCAATATCTATAGGACAGATTGTGATCCAGATTACGAGCGAGCGTGTAGAGGCGTAGCCATAGCCGTAAAAGATACCGTTTATTCCCACCCAGTAGAAATAGATTCCCCACTTCAAGTAATAGCTGTTACAGTTAATTTAAACACAACATTCACAATTTGCAACATTTATCTCCCCCAAGACAATACTATAGAGACAGAACACCTTCTCCATATTCATAGGCAGTTGACAAAGCCAATTTTGTACACTGGAGATTTCAATGGCCACAACCCATTATGGGGCTCACAAGACACAAATCCTAGAGGTCGCATTATAGAAACTTTCTTAGATTTAACGAATACTCTGTTACTAAACTCCGGCGAAGCAACATACGTAAGTTCTAGCTTTGGTACATTTTCATCCACAACTGAGTTGACACAAAAAAATTTTGCTTTTTGTAGCAGATTGAATTCATTAGGCATTGTCAAAAAAAAAAAAAGGTTAAGAAGTCAAAATTTTGTTTTATTCGAAGACGATCATTTCTTGTTTTAAATTAAATGAGATTTCTCACCGTCACCAAAATACGTCGTTAGCCTATCTTGGCCGGACGTATTTATATTCACTGGCTATATCCACAAAAATATACAGTTTAAAACCCTAAATTTCGACTTGTTTGAAGACGTTTATTTCATATAATAGCTGCATATAATAGGTAGACTGTGTAATTTATTGTGAAAATTAGAAACAACATTCTTTTTATACTCATTTGTTTCTATAGATTCGAGAAACTTTCGGTGCTCTGAATGTCGTTTTTATTTTAATTCCTTTTTTTTTTTTTTTGCTTATTTCCAATCATTGCAGATTGTTATATACACTATGTAAAAAAAAAAAAATATATATATATATATATATATATATATTTTATATATATATTTTTTTTGTATATATATATATATATATATATATATATATATATATATATATATATATATATATATATACCTGTGGGTTAAAAATCAAAACATACGAAGTTTATTTCTTTTCTTATATTATACTATATATATATTAAATTCTCCTCGACACAAAAAAATGTTGTCTACCGAACTGGAAGGATTCATCAGGTAAGCATTATCCCAAAAATAAATTTTAAAAAGCAAAATTTTGGGCACTCATTTGTTTTTTTTTAATATATATATTAAATTTTACGTATTTTTACCGAAAAATTAAATGAGCGTCGAAAGATGAGGAGGTGTGACCAAGACAAATTGTGAGCCAACGCGGCCACATAATCCACTTACCATTTAATCCAAAAGTGGTAAGCTGTACAAATTTGGGGGCTTCAAGCCTCCTTCCCTTCCTCTTCTCCCCCAAAAAATGTTTCTACTTAGGGATCATAAATATAATTTAGTAGTGGAATATAGGTATTCGTCTGGTAAATTCAACACTCCGTGGTACAGACCTCTTTTTATCATATTATTAACATCCGGCTGATGTTAATAATAGCTTCATCTCATCGTAACCTACAAATATTTTATTTAGGAAAATTCTCGGAGTTTCCTATTTGGAGGACGGCAAACTTTGTCTATTTAATTAAATACTGAAAACTCTTAAACACCCATTTGCTTTCCACTTGAATCGTTAGATAACTTGATCACAAAATTGGGAAAAAAAGGTGGCCTTTGAAAAATATTGTGCCGTTTGGCGTGACCTACACCCCCAAATTGTCAAAATAACAAGGTTATGTAGGCGAAACGGTCCAGTATTTTTGTAGGCCATATTTTTTATCAAATTATCGTACGATTCAAGTAGTAAGCAAATGGGTATTTACGAGTTTACAGTATGGGTATTTACATAATTAAATAGACAAAGTTTGCCGACCACCAGATTGAAAACGCCCCAATTAAGAGAGTTTTCGTAAATAAAATATTAGTAGGTTACGATGAGATGAAGCTATTTACGAAGTTTCAGCTGGATGTTAATAAATTGATAAAAACGCATCAGTACCACGGAATATAATGGTTTATTTTTCAAATATATAACGAAATATAATTCAGTGATAAAATAATTTAATGACTTAATTTCTAGACTACTTCTCATCCTCCTAACGAAATATAAGGTTACATGTAATTGAAAAATTCGAAGTCGAGGAAATAACAGACAAGTGTTTTTAAACATTGCATACACTTTATTAAGAAAGGGAATAAAAAATAGGTGGGATGGAAACAAAGACCTTAATATTATGTTGAAGACTGTGGTTCTATAATCCGAGGGAGAACATCTGGATGTGGCCAGACAACTGTTAGCTCTGCTACACAAAACCTGGCCTCAGGGGTTGTGTAACAACGATCCGTCGTGCTATTCCTACTTCACGTTCACAAATGGCCACCCTCTTGATGCATTATATACACAAACATAAGTATATAATTTATAACACAAATAAATGTAAATTAATACATTTGTATGAATGGATAATTAACCAACCACAGTTTAATCTAGTATAAACATATTTTATTGTAAACAAAAAATTAAAAAAAATACTAATAAGAAAAATTTTCTACTGCAACTCATGAAGGGTCTTTGTTTCAGTACTTTATAAGGAGATGATTTTACTGAAATCACGCTCGACCTCATGGATTTTCATCTTTATTTATTAATGCATTAAGAGTACCCGGATGTGTCTGCGACTGCATGTGATACAGAAAGGATCAATTTTTATCAGCCTTGGTCTTGGTCTTGGTCGTGCAAAGTGCAAGTCTAATATCTATTTTGGGTGACACTACAAAATGCCATAATCCTATAATTTCATTAATAAAAATCCGTTTAACAAGAATTTTTTATTTCCTCTATATTAAATTGTGTAATGACGTTTTAAAATATTCTGAAAAATAATAACAGTCATAAAAATCTATTAGAATTTTTTATAGTATACTTTTCTATGGTTGTAGACGTTAAAGTAATATTACAAATTATTGTTTTCTTTTTTTCTCTGTATATAACAATTACTTTTGACAATTCTCCTTATTATCATTTTCTTTGATAAATGATTTTGCTCCACAGTTATTTTATAAGAAATATTTTATTTTAATATTTTTCCTGAAAACTTTACTAAAGCTTAAACTAAACTCCACTAAAAAATAGTGGAGCAGTCTAAGCTACAGTCTTTAAATTGATAGGAGTCTCTTTCTAGGATGAATAATGAAATAGTGGCAGAAAATCAGATAACAAAAAAAAATAATGATCAATAAAACTGTTTAACCAAATGAATGGAAGCCAAATTAACTGTGAGGTTAAGGATAAAAAAAACAACCACTTCTCCTTCTTCCCCTCCAAAAAAACAAAAAAACAACTAAATTTATAATATTACTTTAATAATTACTACCATAGATTAATATAGTATAAAAAAGTTTAATATTTTAGAACCTTTTTTTAGAATATTTGAATGTGGCATTAAAGCCAAAACGTTATAATGAAAATGAAAATTTCTTCAAAAAATATTTTTTATTGATGAAATAAAATGGTACGAGTAAAATTTTGTAAACTTTCACAAACCATTAATCCTTTATTATTTAATTGCAGCAAGTTTAACTTTTATTTAAATAGTTTTATATTGCCAATTAATTTTTCTATAACTCTGCCGATACATCAATGAATATCTAAAACAAATTTATTGGTGTGTTCTTTACATTCCGAAGATATTCATATAAATTTTAAATTATACATGAAAATGCTGAATTTTAAATTTCATTAAAAATATTTCAATAGAGATTCAAAAACTGTTTAGTGTCAACTTTGGGATCTGCCAAGATGTTTATGTAAATATGGAAGCACATTCCCCTAGGGTGGATATAATTTCCTGATTCATGTAGTCGGTTTTTTTAAATTTATCAATAGTTAAAGTGTAGTTATTTTAATTGTTTGTCGTTTTAATGTTAATTAAAAACAAAGTCTCAACAAAATCGCCAAAATATACTTTTGTAACTATTAAGAGTGAACCTCTATATCCTAATGAAAAAATAATATATATATATATATATATATATATATATATATATATATATATATCAATTATAAGAAAAAACAGATTCAAACGCCATAATATCAAATTTAAAAACCTTGTGATCAGGCGTTGAAGGCTGGATAAAAAATACAAGTACGGGCGTTATCAGTTGTTTTCGAATGGGAGCCAGTGCGATAGTCGCTGACCTGATAAGAGAGCCGACTTTCTGTATTTGGCGAGAACTATTCCGGCAATTCCAGGCCGCACAGGGTCCACTGGAAAAGATTCTTCCCGCAGACTTTCTCTTTCATCCATTAACTCCCTCTCATCGGCCGCCATCACGATGATAGTCCTTCTATGTCCCACCATTCCCAAAATAATAATAATAATGACAACAAAAAGTCAAAACACAATTCAGAAATAGTTAATTTCGGTTAAGATACAAACCCAAATCCTATGATACCATGGTTTATAATGATTCCGAAAAATCCACCATAAGGAAATTTAACCCAAATATTCGAACTTCATAATCAAGAGTAGAACTTGAAACACGGAATGAGGACGCTACCCCTTACAATATTATGTGATGATGATATTCATTTCATTAATCAAGACTCTTCTTAATTATTAAATGCACGATGGTCATTCTGTTTGATGCTACTATGAAATGAATATGGATCAGTCTATCAATCGTATGATTACATTCCATGACTAATATTTAAAATT